TCCATTCTGGGGAGCATCAATCCGGTTCCTTTTCCACTGGCAAGTCAGGAAGAGATACAAACATCACTCACTCACACTCCTCCCCCTTATGGTTGGAAGGCCTAAAGGACGGCATTGATTATTTCCGAAAGGAAGGATGTACCACCCTTCACCCCTGCCTAAGTTAGCCTGATCTATTTATATCTATCCCTGTTGGCTAATCTGCCCTTGCTCGCTTAACGTGCCCTTCCTTTAATTTGGGACTCGTGGCTTGTCCACCTGCATCCTGGCCAGCCTATTCCCTTTTTTACAATGGGTACTCACACACGCTCCTCCCCCTTACGGTAGGACGGTCCGAAAGCTGGCATTGATTACTTCCTGAGGCAGGATGTATCACCTTTCGCCCCTGCCTAAGTTAGCCTGTATGACGTAATCTTGGACCTGGAAGGCTTCTCAGACTTATGRMTTTCTGTTATAGTTKCTGACGGGCTGCCTGTGTGGGTTGATTCTAGCTTTTCCTCTCAGCTGTAAGGCTGTCAGATCTGTGTGGATTGTTGGTAGAGCTAGTTCAGCCTTCGTCGGTGCCCTCAGCTAAGGCCCTATCCCTGCMCTTCTATGTGCTGTAGTACTCCTTATCCTTAGTCTGCTTTTAGGCATCTATATTTTAGAGGCTTCCTTTCTTCCTCTGCTAAAACCMTAAACCCTCATCCCTTTTCTACTTAAGCGGGGGGGTATATGGGAAGGGTATAGGCTCGGGGGAAGGGTGTTACGGGTAATGGGGAGCAAAGTAGGCGTGGGGTAACCCTGTGAGGGTGGTAGAGTGTATCGGTGGGGTGTGCTGTAGAGGGGTGGAGGGCGTCGGTGGGTTTGTTGGGTATGTGTTTTTCTGTTTCAGGGTTGAGTTCTGAATGTGAGGAGGTAGCTGGTTACGGTGAGCTCTTGTTGTTGGCTGTTGTAATACTGGGTGATTAGTGGTTGATGTTAATGGGTTTCAGGGTCATTTGGACTTGGGTCGTGTCTTCTGTACTGTCTTATTGGCTGTGGGGGTTTACTTCTGGAGCGATGATCTGTGGGCTTGTCGGGTTGTTGCAGGGTTCTTGGAAGTGGTGGGGTGTCATGATTAACCCGTCCTATATTAGCGTTTTATCCTAAATGTCCAAGAGTACTTTACTGGGATATGGGGGGGGGGGGTGTTGTCGGTTTATCCTCTTCTCGGGCTGTAGGCTGAAAGTGTCTCTTTATCCTGACCTCAACGACATACCTGTGAGATGGGTCCTACTTCTGGGTGTTTCTAATTCTTGTGGTGGGGCTATGCGGTTGTGCCTCCATTGTGCAAAGTGCAATCTGTCCTGGTCTATTATTGCAATCTTTCCTTCTCCTAGCTGGTGTTTCACGAACTCTTCTACTACTCTGTCTCTGTTTGTCATGTTGTTTGCCATCTTTCTGCGAGTTCTCTTCCAGCGGCCTCTATACTCGATTTCCACTAGGTACAGCACTCCCTCCCAAACTTCTTGGGCTGCCATGGGGATGTGTTTGGTTTGGTGGCCGGTTGAGGTGGGTTTCCCATCTCTGGTTAATGATTTGGGCTACTGGGAAGGATCTCATTCTCAGTGAGTATCCCAATCTGGAAGGGAGTATTCCAGGATGTTAGTACGTTTTTCGATCTGTAGTCTGCCTGATTTCGTTTTCCATGCCCATTCTGCTGGGTCAATTTTCAGGTCCTCTATGTTTAGGAGTGGTTCAAAGATGCGCCGCTCCTCTGTTTCTACTACTCTTGCTTTCCTTATTGTAGGCTCTCGTAAGGCAATTTCTCGTGTAGGATTTCGGCTTAACAGGCTAGTGGTCGTTCCTGGTTCTTCGATTGTGTACATGTCACAGATTAGCCAAGAATTCCTTGGTCCTTCCCTCGTGCGAAACCGGTACGCTGTGGTGGGGATGTTGTCTGCCGTTCTTGTTGCCCAGACGCCTGGGTTCCACTTGCTGGTCCCTCTCAGCAACTGAAGCCAGTTGTTTGGGACTGTGCTCAGAATATTGTTCGAGTTCTCCTGCAGATTGTGACAACCCTTCAAACGTTCTCTCATTTCCTCAGCCGTTCTCCATTTTTTATTGGTATCCTGCCATAGATGCTTATTTGCCATACTCCTTTTTCCACCCATGTGCCCCATTTTGTGTCCTTTGCAGTTAAGGCCCAGGGTTTCCCTTGCGCGTCTACTAAGGACTGGTTGCAAAAGATTGGTTGCCTGAGGATTTATTCCTTGGTAGTTGGTTCTCTCACTTTAGCAGGGAGGATTTCCTTCCAAGATTTCATTAGCTGTCTCCAAAAATCATGGTCTTGTTCCTCTTCTAGGTCCTCTTGCTCCCTTGTCTGTGTATTGCCTTTCATTGCCCAGGATTTGGCCATGAACCAAAAGAGTCCGCTCATGTTATCTGGGGTTTTGAATCTGGCTAGTTGTTGTATCCTACGTAATCCCAATTTATTCCAAGGTAGCTTGTTATTGGTTATCATTTTGATGATCCACTTCGTTTGTAGTGCTTTGATTTGCGTATCTGGGTCCAGGATTCCAAGACCTCCCTGCGATTTCTTCAGGATGACGTATTTCCATGCTACCTTTGAGATGAAGTTGATTTTAGAGGGATCCCATGACCACAGGTAGGCTGCTGCTCTTCTTCTTAGTTGGGTTCTCCGTTTCTTGGGTGGGCTCCAGATCGTGGCTGCGTACCACATCATTGAGAAAATGGATGCGTTGAGGATAAGCGCTCTTCCAAATATTGAGGTATAGATACTAGACCAGCTGCCTAATTTTGCTATCATCTTATTCATTATAGCTGGTGCCATTAGTTGGTTGGTGCCGTGCTTGGAGACTTGGACCCCTAAGAATCTGAGTGGTCCATCAATTCTCTTTTTTACATGATGATTTCATTGAACCACTAAGTCTATTTATGAAGTTTTAACTAAAACCTGTCACAGCAAACCGTGGTTGGCGGACGGTGTGCCCGCAGCGACCCCCGCCACCAAGGTTTCTTTCCGCCTCGTGGGCTAATTACCCACCGGCTCGCATGCACGTTGAACTCCCCTGTCCAAGTATCAAGACGGGTAGACAAAGGAATTTTGCCAACATCCAGGACACGCCGGAACCCAAGTGGGTCTGTCGAAAGAGACGCGTGATCAAGGTCCTCGACTGCCGTAACGGCCACCCATGTCCGGCAAAGTAGTAGCCGAGCCAGACCCGGGTGCCCGGCGTCGGTCTCGGACCCGGTCACCGGGTCAAAGATAACCGTAAAAATAAAAGTAAAATAATAAAAATAATAAAAATAAGAACAAATGTGAGGAAACAAAAAAGTAACGGCGTGAGGGGCCGCACGTCCTGCTGGCCTGTGACGCTGTGCACACCCAGATCGTGCATGGTTGCTCCTCGCCATCAATACCCCGCGCGCGCTGCTCACCCGGTCAAGGACTCAACTCTCACTCCGGAGCGCGCCGTTAACTTCGGTCGAGGCCGCACCAGCGTGGATTACAAAAAACACGCCAAATACCCTTGTAAGGGTATTTGGTACGACAGCGCTCGTTCATACCCCCCTGCCCCGAATCGCGTTCAAACGTGCTACGCGCGCGAAAAAATTGAACGCGGTCCCGCGGGGCGCGGGCGCGCGATGGGGGCTCAGGGTGGTCGTCCGAGTTCAACAGACCCCCAAAGTGCGAAAACCGCCCCCCGGGGACCACCCGATAGCCCCCCCGCCCTACGGCCCCCACCCCCAAAACCGCCACCTGCCAAGCCCCGACACCCCTACCCCCACCCGACGGAGGGCCACCCACTCCCGCCACCTCCCCTCCGACCGTACCTCTGCGCCACCCGGGGACGTTTTTTTTTTTTATTCCCCGCCCACAATTACAACCCCCCAAACCACGCCACCCATTTACACACACACACACACTGACACACACACACATTCACACACGCACATGCACACACAAAATCACACCGTCGCACACACACGCGCACTTTTTTTTTTTTTCGCCAACACGTACAACCCCCCAAACTGCGCCACCCATTTACACACACACATAATCACATTCACACAGACACACAAACTGCGACCTTTCGTTATTTTTTTTCCAAAATATCTGTTTTTTTTTTTTTTTTTAAAGCGCAAAACAAGCGGTTAGAGAAATTAAAAAAAAGGGTTGCAAGCAAAAAAAAAAAAAAAG